GAAAGAGAAAAAGAAAGAAAGAGAGCGAGAATAGTCATCTACCAAGAAGCATCATAGAAACTCTAGCATATAATCTCTCTCAAAAACAGTAAGTTTACCCTCTTTTCCCTGTATTGGCACATCTGACAATTCTCCTCGGCGTAAGTCAGTTTCCAAGTTCGCCATTATTTTTTAAAACAAAGGCGGGGAATAAAGTGATCATTCAACAGTGACTAATATACCTTAATGTGTATGTATGCATATATGTATATAGACACACATGCGCAGGCACATTATATATAAAAGTTCGTTGTATATAGAAGATAAGTTATCTACTTCATGTAAGAAGTGAAGGGTTCGCTGGGATAGTACCTTCTGTTTGTCCCCACGTCTGGTTTCTGTTTCACCATTTTGCTGAGGGTGCTACTTAGAGCTCCCAGGGGCATTCTCATCCCAAGTGAAGAAGCCTCCTTTCATTTCCTTCCACATAATTTGACTCCTTTTCCTTCTGGAATCACCCTCTTCCTTTAGTGTGTCGTATGCTGCTCCCCTGGCTTTCATTCTCCTCCCTGATGGTGCCTTTCAGGCTTTTTCATTAGGCTTCTTTTCCGCTGGAGAATTTGGGATTTGTGGCTCATCTATTTGGTGGTCCCCACACACCTGACATCCCCAAAGTGGGTGTTCATGCACAGTTAAATCTTAACACCCAAATTGTAACACCCCATTTTACTGTGAGACACGCTCTTTCATAACATTTTCCTCTGGTTGAAAAAACCGTGGTCAGGAGAGAGAAATCGTACATCATCAGTAGAAAGTGTCTTAAGTGACCGTTTACACACGGCAGGATTTGAGGCAATCCTAAATGAAGCAGGGGCTTCAGTCACATGGAAGACAAGGCCTGCATGTTACTAAACCTCATGATGACAAGCTATAGGCCTTAAGATTTAAATTATATTCTCTATGACACTTAAATACTTCAAAATTAAGCCAAACCATCTCTAAATCCTGCTGTTCCCCTGGAGTCACACAGTCCCTCTGTTCAGAGTTGCTGCCCCTGCATCCTCTGCTTCTCTTCATTGTGCTCCTGGGGATCTAGCTTTGCTATCCTCACTCTCTTGAAATGGCTCTCCTAAAATTCCTAGTGCTTTGATCATCCACAACAGCCTCTTCTTAGGAAATCCTGCCACTTTGGCCTCCCCCGTTTTTTGCAGCCTTCTTTCCCCTTGGTTTCGGTCGCACCCGGTCTTCTGCTTCTTCTACCTCGTGACTCCCTCTTTTCAGGCTCTCCCTGGTTCCTCCCTTTCTTTGTCCTTTAATGTGTTGTTCCTTGAGGGTTTGGCTCCTTTTTCATTCCACATGCTTGTCCCAGGTAGTGACCTTATCCACTCTTATGGCTCCAACAATGACTCTTGAAACTGTAATTCTAGGTTTAGCTTCTCTCTGGAGCTCTGACTTCTTTCTGTAAATTTCCACCTGAGTGTCCCCACTCCACTTGAGTGGAAGTACTCCATTAAGTACTTTTCCTTACCGAAATATGTTTCTCCTCTTTTTTTTCTTAATTTTAGCTCATTTAGCACTGCCACACATCCAGTCAACCAACCCCCAAACTCAGCGCATCCTGCCTCCTCTTTTTCCCCCAATTCTTCACAACCAGTTGATTACTAAACCCAGTAGGTTCTATTTTTAAATGTCTCCCAGAAATTTCCCTCTCCCCCTCACACTGAAGCTATTCTAGAGCAGACCCTTATAATCATGAGCATCAACTCTGCAACTGATTTTTTTGTAGGCCTAATTGATAAACTCTAATTGATTTTTCTGTTCATCTCCTTATCCTTATATACAGTCTTCTCACTATAGCCCGAATTATAGTTTTAAAATGCAGATCTAATTGTTTAGTTTCTCCTCATAAAATCTTTTCATAGTGTCCAGTTGATTTCCAAAGTAAAATGAAACCCTAACAAGGCATTCAAAGACCTTCATAATCTAGTCCCAGCCTTACTCTACTACCCTTATGTCCTGCCGTTTCCCAAAGCAAAGTCCTTGTTACCTGTTTATTATTCTGTGCATTTGTATGCCTCTGTCTTGTGTTCATCTTCCAACCTTTGCTTGTCAAAACCCTACTAATGCTCTAAATTCCCCAGGAATAATTGATTAAATACATCTTTTCTGTGTTCCCAAAGTCCTTAGTTTATATAAAAACAAGATTTATTGCACATATATTATGCTTCCTTTTCTTGTTAGATTGTGAGAAATTTGAGAATGAGAAAAGTGTTAGTCATTTTTTTCCCTCTCTAGATCTGCACTTGGATCTGTGTGCTTGGTGCATAGAAAACGCTTTCTAAATATTGTACAAATCAAATACATATATATTTGTTTTATTGGATGCCTATACATATGTACACACACACATCCAGAATAGACTGCTTTTCCAACATGGAGATATTTTTCTTCCATGTGAATCTTCTCCTTCTCCAGACTCTTGCCCTTTGAAGCTCTTAGGCATATTGTAAAATCTAATTAGGATCAAATGATTAAGGTTGTATGTTTACTCTCAAATCAAGCCTATACCTTATTATAAGTACATATTCTAAAACATATATATATGTATGTATTTTATTATATGTGTTTTATATATATATATATAGGTATGTATGTATACTTTTTTCCCCAGATGTTTTATTATGCCCGTGAGCTACTAGCTCTTGAAAAAGCCAAGTTTCTTAAGGTCAGATTAGAGAGGGTTTGTAATCAGAGAATAGTGTTGCATATTATTTTAAGCTAAAGAATAAAGAGCAGTCGTTGAGGGAATTATCACAAACAAAATGAAAATTAGTAGCACATGTGCAAGGACATCTAGAAAGAACAAAGAATATAGGAAAATTCTAGAAACAAAAATATCTTTGGTTGCCATTGAGACATGCATGGTTCACTGATGTGGTGAAGCCCCAAGCCCAAGACTGAGGATCAAGAGCTTCTGATTTCAGGCTAAGGATTCAGGGTAACATCCCAAAAGAAGAGCTAGGGATTAGTGGGAACAAGACCAGGTTATTTGAGAAATGATTAAAGAAAAGTTGCTCCAAGATGCAATCTTTAAAATTTCTGAAGAAACAACAATTTATTTTTGAACGAAAGCTGTCATGTTCTTTTTTTTTTTTTTTTGCGGTACGCGGGCCTCTCACTGCTGTGGCCTCTCCCGTTGCGGAGCACAGGTTCCGGATGCACAGGCTCAGCGGCCATGGCTCATGGGCCCAGCTGCTCCGTGGCATGCGGGATCCTCCTGGACCGGGGCACAAACCCACCTGCATCGGCAGGCGGACTGTCAACCACTGTGCCACCAGGGAAGCCCCTGTCATGTTCTATTGAAATAGTTCTACAAAGCATGTTTCAGGTGGAAAAGAGGGCCTGGCTTCTTGAAAAACAACAACAACAAAAAATAGAAGCAGGTTTGTAGGGAGGTGTGTTCTTCTTTAGGAGTTAATGGAAAGTTTTAACCATTTAAGTCTAATCAGATCTTGTAATATGTCGAGGTTTCAAAGGGGGAAGGGTCTAGAGAAAGAGAAGATCTACATGGAAGGAAAAAATTCTCCATGTTGGAATGGCCAGTCTATTCTGGGGCAACCTATAGATTTTTCCCTCTGTGTACTTCCTTGGGTTGATGGACTCTTGACATAAAGGAGCTTCTGCTCACTGCTGGAAATAGAACGAGCCGGAATCACTTTGAGAGCCAACTGGGAATTCTAAGAAGGCAACTTAGCATGGTCTCTCTGGAAAGTTATGTGTAGGTAGTTTAAAGACTTAATATTAAAGCCATGAGAAAAATCACTTATAAGTCTGCTCTAAATCCCTGAAGGGTTGGAGCCATGTATATGAAGTTTAAAACTATATGAGACTTACAGTTTTAAGATAAAGATCAGGGCAACTGTTTCTACTTAGGTCTGGGAAATAGAAGCAGAGTTCAATCATGCAGTGGCTCATAGCAGTTGAACATTAGTGAGAAAGGTACCAGACAAAACCTAGGTGTTAGCATTTCTTAAAATGTGGCTCTGGCTCAAACTGTGATTCACTATATTTGTATCAAATAGCTATGAATATTTTAAATGTGAAGTTCTGTTATTTTAACAAATATTTCATTTTTATCTAAGCTTTAGAAATGTAGAGCAATTGGGCAAGAGAGTTTCTACCTGAACCATCACCATCTTCCTGATGGCAGCTATATAAACCACAGACCAAGCTTAAGAAGAAAAAGAGCTCCAGAAGGTTTCCCCTCGTCATTTGAAGTCTATAATGTGAGGAGGAATGTCCCAGAATCAGTGAGAAGAGTAGAAAATTCATAACTGGAAGTGTTGGGGTGCACAAGCAGAGAACTTAGTCAAAGTGCAGGTAAATTTCAAGCCTCATGGTGTGGACTGTGTGATTAACAAACCCTGCAGAGTGATAACACTCTTCAGGCCAGCTTTTTGAGAGGTGAAGACTGCAAAAGTAAAAGCATAAAGAGATAACATTGCAGCAATATCTAATTTCTATTCAGTTTATTAAAAAAAAAAAAATCTAAAACCTGCTATTGTCCAGGTTCTCCCTGGAATCTCAAACGCCTCAAAGTCTAGAGTTGTTTTATCCTCTTCACACACCAGGAGGACAGACTGTAAAAGTTATCCTCTTGCCTCTTGCCCAGGCCCTACCCAAGCTTTCCACTTGAGCCTCACTGTTCACTCGACCTCAGACCCATTGCTTATGCTGTTTTCTCTTATAATGTGCTCATCTCCTTCCTCAAAATCTACCCCTTCATTCAAACCCCTGGTTCAAGGATCCTTCCTTTCCATAGCTTTCCTTGGCTTTCCAAGGGAAGCTCCTGTGCCAGCTTTCCCATAGTAATTTTAATATGTCTCTTACATTGCACTTGCTTTATTGTTTTGTATTTAAGAGATCTGTCTCCTCTTTAGTCTATAAGCTCTTTGAGAGCATGAACCAAGTTGT